GCTCCTTTCCTCCACCATGTGTACCCTTGCTGTGAGAACGCTATTTTGTTGGTCTCCCAAATGTCCTGACTGGTGGTGTTATGTGGGGATGCGCCATAGCGAGATGTATTGCTCATGCCATGTTCGCATGTGTCATGTTAGAGCCGTTAACATAATGGGCTGTGACTGCAGCCTGACAGGATGCGTCATGCTTAAATAAATCCACTTGGACGTTTCAAAGTAACCGGGTGTCTGCTAAATATTACAGTGCAGTCCAGGATATTCTCGGGATATCCTGTTCATAGTGGCTATGCACAGTGGGGATCCACTTGGCCCACTCCATAATGGCATGAGCAATACTGAAGAGGCTTTAGATTAGACAGAGAAGGGTTGCCATGAACAGGAAAGGACTTTATCCCTCAGTGGGGCTGAGAAGAGTGGGTGGGTGGCAGCAGGTCAGGGAGACCCTTGCCGCATTGCAGAGTCCTGCAAGCAGAGGAGTGGAAAGGCTGAAGGTGACTAACAGAATGACACTGGGAGGAAACTTGCTATAGTTATCCATTCTCCATCGTTTTCTCTTTCCACCCTGCATCATTTGGGAACAAAGTGCTAGTGGCCATTGCTACCAGCTGTCCATCCTGAACGGGAGCGAGGATTGGGAGAAGAACAGACTCGCTGGCTGGGGAAGCTGAACATAACATAACTGCAGCGTGACCAACACCGAACTGTAATAACATCTGCTGCCTTCTTCATTTCCTTCTCCTTTTTGGTCTTTACCTCTCCCCAGACATAATTCGCCTTCTGCCCTTTGGACTGGGTTTCTCCGACTGTCCCGTAGTTTAGCCAGCAGAGGAGCAGTTCCCCTCTGTGGTCCTCTCACACCCTCGCTGTCCCTCCGCTCTCTCTGCTTCAGTTCCCACGTCAGTTTTTCTGCCTCCACCCAAATTTCTCACACTTCCTGGTCAGCACTGCTGCTCTGCCAAGCACGGGCTGTAATGAGCAGCTCCCTCGCGTGGCCCAGTCTGGAACTCTACCTCCATTTTAACTTTCCTCCGAGCAAAACACGTCATTTCACATTAGTTTAAATGTGTTCCCAGGTAATGAATCCCACCCGCTGTGCTCCAAATAAACAAATGCCAGGGCTCCTCCTCCACCCCTTGCGCTGGCCCTTCTTGGCTCCGTTCTTGGACAAGACTGCATGCCGAAAAGGCAGCTAGGCTGCATACAGATCAACAGATCTGTTGCTAGTATCTCTGGCTACTGCAGCATGACTCACCCGTCAGTGCCTGTCAGCATCTGCTGTGACCTTACCGAAAGCTCCAGCACCCTCCTGTTAGGAGGTGGGTTGCGGTCTAATGTGGAGACACCAAGTAGACAGGCAGGGGTAGGGAAGCTGTGAGGATGCATGCATCCCAACCTCCAAGGGAAGGTGCTGGTCCCTAATTTTGGTACAGCCCTGACTGGCTAAGGAAGTAAACAGCTCCAGTGACTTTGCTATTTGGGCATGGTGGTGGGGGGGCTTCTGGGAGGCTGGCTGGCTGGAAGAGAGAAGTGCAGACAAGTAAAACCAGGCCGCAGTGAAGGCAAGTTCACTCGTGTCACTGTCTCTGTAGCTTAGATTAGCAAGGTGGTCACGAGACATCCAGCGTGAGGCAATGAGAGCTATAAATCACGCGGTGCTAGTCCCCTGTGTACGGCCTCTGCACAGTGCCTCCTCTAGGATGCAGGGTAGCCCCTAATGAAAGTCCTTGGCTCTTCAGCCCCAGAGGCCAGGCCTTGTGATGCCCAGACCCTCAGCATCTCACCTGGTCCTGGCATGAAGGTGACTTTCAGTCTCTAAAAGCAAAACGCTTGCACCTCCCGCAGCTACATGAAAGGGGGAATGCAGGTGGTGGGGTCACAAGTGCAAATCAATGGCGTCTGGTCTGAGCAGTGTCTCTGAACGTGCGTGAGCATCTGCTTCTGTTTCCTATCGATGGTTTCTATACGTGGCCAGGCTCGCTGTGCCAGACCTGCAGCTTCCTCCATAGGCAGCAACAGTCTATTCCCTGCACAGCCTCCCAATTGCAGCCCTGCTTCAAAGACGCTCACTTCCCATTGGCTTCAGATGACCTACCAACAACAAGCCTGATGCCTGGCTCCCTGTCTCCAAGAGAACAGGAAGCTTAAGAAAACGGGCTCTTGAATGGATCAGCATGCAATCCAGACATTAGACAACAGCAGCCTCTTCTGCAGCGCTCGCTTGGAAACAGCAGCGTGGGAGCCTCCTGTGCTGGGATGGGTCACACACCGAGCGCCAGAAGGATGGTTCGGGCTCATCGTGGGGCAGCAGCCGAGAGCTCTGCTGATCTTATTGCATCCATCTCATTTTTGCATTTTGGGTGCAGCTGGGCACTCCCCTGAGCCTAGCACTTCCCTGCCGTAGAACTGCTCGATTGCCACCAGAGGTGTCCCCGCTAGCTGACCCTTCTCTTTAGGGATCCCTTCTGTCTTCGGAGACTGGGAGCACTGGCTTAGACTGTGGTGACCTGCAGCTGAAAGGGTTAATGCCATGTTGTCATGGTTTTCCCAGACCGGGAAGTCAGCTTTCAGCTCCATGTCTTTAACAGCTGGGAGGTGCTCGAGGGATTTATAGACAGCCGTTCACCTTAGCATGCTTGTTCTAATACCCAAAAAAGGTTGGGCTGTGCCCAAGGCTCGGTGGCCTGTGTCTCTTGCCAACTGCACGCAAGGGAGTGATGTCAGGCCTCAGGTCCAGCCACTTTGACTCCCCACCTGAATGTGCGGGTACGGTTGTCTGAGGGCAGCTCTCAGTATAAGTCTAAAAGTGAGTCTCCTCTGAAGGTGTATCTAGGTGCCTTGACAACTTTGCAGTTACAACCTTATATATTTCATAGACATCAGGGCTGGAAGGGACCTCGCGAGATCATCAGGTCCAGCCCCCTGCCCAAGGGGTAGGAAGTCAGCTGGGGTCAGATCACCCCAGCAAGATAAGCACCCTTCCCCTCCCCACGAGCAGCCGCTGAAAGCTGTTGCTACCTGTCAACAGCCCCAGTAAGACTTGTTGGTTGTCCTGGTCCAGTTCTAGGAGAGAGGAGTAGCAGTACGAACAAATCAACAACGCATCGTGGGCAGTGACACCCCAGGCTGACCCCCTTGCAAGCATTCTCTACAGGGGTGCCGAGGCCTCAACCGTCTGGAGAGAAGAACCAGTCTCTCCACAGCTGGGCACGAAGGGCTAATGTGGAAGGGGTGGAAAGCCCACCTGCTGCTCCCCTTTCTCCCTGCTGCCTGTGTGTGCTGGCTCTGGCCTCAGCACATGAAGTCGCGTCCCTGGGTTTAGCATCTTAGAAGATTTTTCCTTCCTGCGACTGAAGACCACCAGCCCCTGCACAGGTCTGGAGTCAGCGCTGCTGTGGCAGTAAAGCCGAACCTTACCGTGTTGGTCTAAGGACGTAGGCAGACAAGGTTCTTTAAAGGTGGCGGTAAAGCCGAACCTTGGCAGCCATCCTTCCTGCCTGCTTGCACAGCATGAGTCAGATTGCCGGCTGGGCTTTGTGCTGCAGACTGCACTCTCTAGAGGTGACACAAGACCATTACAGGGCTCTGCTCAGGCACTCTGCACCCTGAGTCTGCACAGTTGATGGAAGAGCTCTGACCGTGTCTGTGGGGTGAGCCGCCCGGGCTTCCTTATTTAAGTCTGGTGTTTCCCAGGACCAGAATGTAGCCTGGGACACTGGGATTCCTCTTTCAAATCTATCTCCATTGTATTTTCTAGCAAAGGGCCTGCAGTGTGGGGGTGGAAATAAGATGTCTTCATTAAATAATTGGCAAAGACGAGTGATGATCTGATGATTCCAGCAGTGCATTAATAGTGAGATAACAGGCAGGGAGATGGAAAGGCGTAAGGACTGAGACAAGCTGATGAAAGATAGATAGATAAACTAGTAGTGCTTCATGTCTGTCAAGGCCTACTATATGAAAATGCTGGTGCTTTGTGTAGGAGCTGACAGGTTATCCCTTCTCTCTATTTTGTCAGACGTTATTATCACCACACAGTATTTATTACTCTGTTTGTGCACTATCCCAAAGCAGAAGTGCTCAGGTGGGCTGGGAAAAGAATGCAATATGTGATTCAGTCCTTCAAGAGGGTGTTCAGGACCATGCTTTGTGCTGGCCCAGGGGGAAGCAGAGCCCCTGAGCACCATAGTGCATTGAATCCAGAGACTCATGGTGCTGAGGCAGCATTGCTGGAGATAGCTCTGTGTCTGAAGTGCATCCCCCAGGCCGGCTGTCATAGAACCATAGACAATGAGGGTTGAAGGGACCTCAGGAGGTCCAACCCCCTGCTCCAAGTAGAACCAGCCCCAACTACATCATCCCAGCCAAGGCTTTGTCTAGTTCGGTCTTCGAAACCTCCAGCGATGAAGATTGCACCACCTCTCTGTGTAACCTGTTCCAGTGCTTTACCATCTCCCTCATGAGAAAATTCCTCCTGATATATAACCTAAACTTCCCTGGCTGCAGCTTGAACCCATTGCTGCTTGTTCTGTCATCTGCCACCACTGAGAACTGTCTAGCTCCATGGTCCTTACTCTGCTGCTCTCCTTCCTTCCTTTCCTCAGGAGCTTGAACTCAGTCATCTCCTGGTCGCTGATGCCCAAGTTGCCATCTGCTTCTACACCCCGACCTGTTCTTCCCTGTTTTTGAGCAGCAGGTTAAGAAAAGCATGGCCCCTAATTATCCTCTCCAACACATGCACCAGGAACTTGTCTACAACACTCCCCCAAACCTTTCTGGATTG